CAAATTCTGGATTTCCAAATTTTAATTAAGATTCAGATCCAAATTGTATTGGATCAGTTCCCAACTATTTTGCACGGAACCAGACACAAATCCAAACCTCTTAATCAGATCCTGAATAGAGCTGAGTACGAGTGACCTTTTCCCTCTTAACCGACCAGATAGGTGGGATATAAAATAAATAAATAAATAAAATGAGTACGAACCTCTGAACCTCTTATGCTGGTCTGGTTGCCAGCTCAATGGGGTGTTCTGTGATTCTGACGTGGTTCTGAGTCTCACATCGTCTGGGGGGCACCCACTCAGAGGCAGTGGCCCAGCTTCCCTGCCTCACCAACTCTGGGCACTGCCTTTGAGTGGGCACTCACTGGACAAGATGGGGCCCCGAACTGCATCAGAACCATGGAACACCTGTAAGGCTGATAGCTGAACTGTCACAAAGTGCTGAATCAGTGGTTCGTGCCCATCTCTAGTCCTGAGCCAATCAAAGAACCCTTGTACGGCCCTAGTATGGAGTATTTCTTCATGTGCTCACCTGTGGGGTATTCACAAGACTGGCAACACATACAGTGCATTAAAACGAAATCATATGGATAAGAAAAAAAATCTGTGAATTAAGTCGTACATCACTACATAGCAATTCTTGCAGGGATGGCTGTACACTTTTAGGTCCCACTACAATCTTTGAAATTACAAATATGATGAGTGTTAACAAACTAACAGCCCCCACCCCAATGTAGTGGTGGGTCACCTTTTGTTCCAGCCTTTTAATGTATAAGACAATACCATGATTGTCTACATGGCAAAGACAGTGCAGAAACCATGTCTAATATCCAAAGCCATTCATTTTTAAATGCCCCCCCAGTACTACTGATAACCATTTCCAGTATCTTGTGCTCAAGAAGTCAAGATTCCAAGTCTGTAGTTTCCTGGATCTGGACATTACTCTCTATCAGTGCTTTATGATAAAGTAGGGCTGTCAGACCATAAAGAAATTCTTGGTTTTACTCATCCATCTTTTTGACAGTAGATGCTGATGTAGTGGCCAAGGCCAAAGCATCTATTATACATGGGAACATCTGGGGGGGAACACTTTGGAAGATTAAACATTTTGCATCAGTTGCATAAAGAAAATGAACATTTGTAAATGATCAGATTAGCTTGTTATACCTTGATGTTAGGCACAGACAGATGATCGTATTTAATCTTTGGTGCCCAGTTTTATCACTGCTGCATCTATTTCTTTTTTCTTTTTTCTGGTTTTAAAAAGCACCAAGAACTAATATACAGTTCTCTACAATGATGAATACTGAGAGGAATGTGCTGCTAAAAATAAGGATGTTGCACCATCTCATGCTATTTGTTGAGGACAGTGATGACCATACTGTTCTGTAGCGCACTGATGTTTACTGACTTCTCCTCATTGTTTTAGGAAGTCATTGAGCAAACATGAATATGGTTTTCAGAGTGGAAAAGCACACACACACTTGCCTTCAGTTTTAAATCCAGCAAAATTGCCACAAGCATGTAATGGTTGACTCTGAATCATTCAAAAGGAAATTTGGGGTAAGAAGAGTTGCGGGACAAAGTCAAAATAGAAAATTGTGCTGGAGGAAACAGTAAAACATGGGATGAGGTGACAGGAAAGAAAGGTAGATGATGTAACAGTAAAGCCTAACTCACTGAACACTGTCCAGATATTTTTCTGCTCATAATTATTAAAGCTGAAAACTGATAGCTGCTGACATCTGAAATGATAAATAGAATAGGGCCTCATACAGGAATTGAGATTCTGAGCTCTTGTCTGTTCCCTTAAAAGCACCATCTTTTAGCCTAGTTTATCTCACATCATTCTTCTGATCCTAAAGTGCTCCTTTTGAGGTCCTGGTAGAGATGCTAAAGATATGTGAAAAATGAATACACTGCAACCACTGACAGAAATAAAATCGCTTATCTCTATCTGTTACTATACTATTCAATTCCATTGCCAAGGGATGAGAGAGAGAGAGAGAGAGAGATAATTCCAATGCCAAGGGCAGAGTACATGAGAGAGAGAGAAAAAAGAGAGAGACTGTCCCAAGGTGGCTGAAAGAACTTAAAAATATTTTAATAAGTCTGTCCCAAGGTGACTGAAAGAACTTAAAAATATTTTAATAAGTTTGTAATCTACTTTGAGTGCTATTTTTAGTGGAAAGTTGGGGTATAAAGAAATAAAATAAAATAAACTCTATAGGCTGAGTAAGGATTTCAACATTGGTCTACTAGATTTTGGTCTACCATCTTGGCCATTATACCACACTCTATTGGGGATAAAACCATTTTCTCTCTTTCCAACTACACAGTATTTTAGGGTCAGAAGAAAGGGAGAGATATGTTGATGCATAGGTTGGAAAGCTTTGTTCCTAAACCTGGTGGAACATTTGGCATTATGGCTGAAATTGAGTTAGAAAATAGCACTGGTACATTTGGGAAACCTACTACAGTACCCTAAAGATGAGACCTTGCTCCATATGTGCATAATTGTATGTGACTGGGAACAAAGAGGTGCTTTGGAAAGCCCACATATATGCCATGGGAACCTCAGTGGAAAGTCTTGACTTAGAAAGCAAACTATATTCTTTAATTACAAAACTGATTGGTCACAAACTATATATATTCTTTAATTACAAAACTGATTGGTCAAGCTGATTGGTTTTATGGTTCAAAAATAGAATGTTTGTGTCCTGTCCTTACCTACTCTCATGCTGCACAGGAAGGAGCATATGATGCTATTTAATGTTATCGTCATTAAACCTCTTTAGGGTTAGGTATCACTTCCCTAAAATCATGCAGTGACTCATTATTACTAAATGAGAATTTGAACCCATGCAGTCATCATCTAATTCCTCAAGGAAACTATCATAAAATGGAAAGGGATGCAGTTGCTACTTGCTGTTCCTCTCAAAGATGGCTAGATAGTTCAGTGAGTTGGGTACCTGGCTGTGGAGCCAGAGGCTGGGAGTTCAATTCCCCATTGTGTGTCCCAGGACAAGAGCTTTGGGCAAGGTGCACAGGTCTAAGATGCCTCCAGAAGGGAATGGTAAACCACGTCTGAGTACTCGTTGCCTGGAAAACCCTGAAATAGAGTTGCCATAAGTCCGAATTGACTTGACAGCATGTTATTGTTATTATTATTTTAGTCTTACATCCTCTCTCCAGGATTTAATTTTACTAAAATTCTCTTGCATTAAATTCTCTCAACTATTTTCTGAATCCATGGAGTACAACAGCTTACTGACGTAAGAGCTGAATAGGAAACAATAAGTGCCATAATCACAAACGTCTTTCGGTTCCTGAATGATTAGAAACTATTTCAAATTCCCAGAGGTTAGTAAAACATCGGATTTCCAAAAATTCCAGTTAACTTGAATATTTAGATAGAGGACAATATCAAAATGAAATGGAGCAACATGAAATGATGTATATTTTTAAGCTAAATAACTGATAGATGGAGTTGAGTTGGCATGGTTATCTGATAAGGCAGGCTTTGGGGGTGAAAAGGGAAAAGTAAATTTCTTTATAACCATGGATGGACCTTCACCTCTCAAAAAGAATGCTACAGATGTCATGATTTTGCAACACTATGCTACAAATCCTTATGTTTCTATCAGGTTCTAATTAGTTTTAGCATAGCAGGGAAGCCAAGAATAGTATTTTTCAGTGACATATTAATGTCTTTAAAAGGAACACAAACAATTTATCACAGGGAACAGACCTGCCTGGCTTGCTAAGAATGAAAGAAACTTAGGTTGATGCAGTGATGATTGAATCTTTTGTGTTTTTCCTTGATGTTGTTTTTCCTATTAAGTGCAAAGAAACATGATACTGTAATATAAAATGCAAGTTATCCATAATAGACTATGCTGTGCAGAGTACTCTTAAACCCCAGGTCTAGCTTGGTGGATTAATTTTGGGAAAATGGGCAGCAGGGACCCCTCTCCTCTTACTACCAGAGAGAGCTGTACTGTGGGTGGTGTTCCTGCAGGCAGAGATGGGGAATGTTAAATTCCCAGAACCACACAGCCAGTAATAGCCAGGATACGGGACGTTACCTTTTCTGAGTATACAGATCCAAGAATCTGGGGGATTCTGGGAAATGTTGTCTCAGAAAAAGTAACGTCCTGTATCCTGTTGCATAGTTTCACTGGCACAACATGACTGACACCACTAGCAGTGGCAGGTTGCAGCTAATTAAAGAGTCCCTAAATCAGTTGCAGGTTGTCTTTGACTTCCTCTAGTTTCATGTCAACCAGCAAACAGGCCAAAATTAAAGGAGGTGGTGGTGTCATTTTGCTGTGATGGAGCAGCTACACAACAAGTTTTTAACCATCATTTATCACCTCTGCTTCTGTGCAGGAGCTGCCAAAAGTCCCTCAGGCAGGTCAGGGAGGGCTGCAGTTGGAGGTTCAGGAATTCCTTTTGCACAAAGGAAGTGCCTTCCACTCACACAAAGAGCCTTCTGGATCTCATCTAGCATCCTGAAATCTCTGAGACAAGGAAATTGAATCTTACTAGTAGCTTGTCTGGTTAGTTCATAAACAGAAGGGGAACAGATATTTAGCCAGATGCTTCAGATTATCAGGCAGATATCTTTTCCTACCCTTATGTTTATACACCTACCTACCTACCTACCTACCTACCTACCTACCTACCTACCTACCTACCTACCTACCTACCTACCTACCTACCTACCTACCTACCTACCTACCTACCTACCTACCTACCTACCTACCTACCTACCTACCTACCTACCTACCTACCTACCTACCTACCTACCTACCTACCTACCTACCTACCTACCTACCTACCTACCTACCTACCTACCTACCTACTAGCTGGTTTACATTATGAAACATGAAAAAAATCTCAAATATACTAAGAAATAACGTATCACACATAAATAAATAAACAAACAATAGAACTGTTTATTATCAAATATACATTGTTAATGTATTATAGCCATGTACGCTGAACTTTTTTTAAAAAACAAAGCATGTGCATCCCTCAGTGGAGAACAGCAATATGGGGAAGATACAGCGACAGACTCACATTTCTGAATCCCAGCTAAATGGGTATAGGTGTGCAAACTAAATCTGTGTGACAACATACTATCATGCTATCAGGGTAGCAACCAATACTATACCAACATCTAGCACCACAAACACACAGTGATTGTGATGTGATTAAGCACAGCGGTAACAAAACACAGATGACAGACTTCCACACTGAAAAACATCGGTAGAAAACTCAGACAAAAACATTTTATATTTCTTTGAACACTAAAGTATAAATTTAAAAATAATCCAACTTTTGTGAACTCAAATTAACAAGCTCCAATCAGCAATATTTTCCAGAAAACAATGGTTGTTTCACATTCTAGTCAATTTCTCTGTTATATCAGAAATGCACTGTGAATCAGGTGAACATTAGGTTGGGAAGTCCATATAAAACAGCATTAATAGCAGATGGCTGCATTTCAGGATGGCTTCGTCCACTGGGACTTTCCCTCTGATCCTCTTTGTTGTCTTCTGGAGAATCCATATGGTATGGTTCCACTGGAAACATAGTTCACAGCAAATAGTTAAAACCAGGTACGGGGGTGTTTTAAAAGAGAAAGATGATATGATATAGCCAAAGGAACAGTAATCTGAAGACCTATTTCTTCTAGTAGAAATGATTTAAACATATGGCCAACTTTTTATTGAAATCAATAGGATTTCAAAGTACTTAACTTTGAACTGTACTTAACTTTGAACTGGACTGTACACAGAGTTTTAACTTCTGCCACTTAAATATCTGATTCTTCACGTCTGTGCAAGTGCAACATGTCAAGGATCATTCTTTGATACAATATTAATCCTCAATTCCATCCTTCCTGGTCACTGTGTAAGTTGCATATAGTACTGTTCTCAGTGAATGGAATGCACAGGTACTTCATCACATTTGCAATATTTTCCAGAAAAGAATGGTTGTTTATCAGAAGACTGGCAGACCAAATCCAGTTGTTAGACACCAACTAGAGTAGACCCACTGAATCAAAGAATCTTACACAAATGTTGACTTCCCTAGTCTCATTCATTCAATGAACTTTCCCTAGCTGGGAATAAGATACAGATTTAGCCCATCAAGCTTGAAAAAATATATGCGGTGCAGCCTCTTGCACTAGAACAAAGAGTTGGAGGGTTAAGAGGCCAAGGGTCTTTTCACACATTACATAATTATATACAGGCAAGCCTGGTTTGCCACACTTGTATGGATCTGCATTCAAGAGTGGCTCCCTGATAAGTGCACTGGTATGATACAGGTGTTTGCAAATACGTGTCATATTCATACTTTAAATTGTATTGTGTATCTATAAAACATAGTACATTTACATCTAAAATGTATTGCGGGAAGTGGCCCCCAATCTCAACCATATGGACAAATTATAGTGTAAGAACTTGGCTAGTTTCCTTTGCCTATATCCATTGGCTAGTATTCTGTTGCCCCATTCCTTATGTGCAGCACTCTATAGGTGTCTTCCTGAAGCTTGTGAAGGTAGATGCACACATTTTCTCATGCAAATGTAAGGCACACTGAAAACAACATGGATACAGAAGTCCATCATCAATATTCCATAGCTTTGCTGTATTAGTTAGACTCCACTTAAACCTTTGTATTTGAAGCTCATGAGCTCATAAATTAACTCAGCAACCCTGAATGCAAAGTTTCCTGAATACTGGCCTTGACAACTAAAGGCTTCCATGTCTTGATTGCAGAGAAATCTCTGGTCAATGGGTATAAGTGGGCTGTAGGGTATTGTTTATTTGTATATGGTTCATAGGTAGGGTATTTTCATACACAAGTCTCGGAATGGTTCTTGCCTTCGAATGTTACAAATGTTATAAAATGTTTGTTACAACGAACAACAAATATTGCAATGAACTATGTGAGAGTAATTCAAATGTTATTTCAAAATATCCTGTGCAAATCTGGGATCAGTATCTCCTACAGTTTAAAACCAGAACCACCATAATTTAACAGTAACTGAAGCACGTGAGTGAGCTGGATCTGATCAAGACTACAGCAGTGGGAGGGGAAGGACTTAACACTTTTCCCCATCATGTAAAACTTACAGTATCACATAAGTAACCATATATTTACCACAATGGGGCAAACAGCAGGTCCAGTCAGCCAATATTAATTCAGAAAATTGTGGTAGTGGTAGTTGCTCACACCCCTTCCTCTAGATCCATGGTCCTGAACGTATTTTATACCCACTCACCCACCCAGCATCGGTAGGGTCTTCCCCCCCCAAAAAAATTGCACAATAGTCTAATTCTAGACCTCTTGTGTCCACTGCAGTTGTGATGGGGATATTATTTTTGTATACCACTTGGTTGTCATCACAGCAAATAAATATGGAAATCTGACAACAGAGTTATCTACAGACACACTCTTTGAATGTTTTGTGGGCTTAACATACCACTGATATTTATTGCAGTACTTATTCTTAACACCATGGCTTTGCTGATACACTCCAGTTTTCAAACATGCTTCATGGAACCCCTCCCCCACTCCATTGCAAATCTCTTCTAGGCATATGACATTTTTCAGTAGTTCAAAAAAAAAAATCCCCTTGTCTTTAAGTGTGGCTATAGAGCTACAAATACTCTCAGAGGAAGTGACACCCTAACCATTAGCAAAATTAGAAATTCATAGTAACAACTACTACAACAAATGAGATAAAAATTATTTAAGAGTTTATAGTATCATTTCATTTTTAAAAAAATATGAGTTTTACCTTTAGATGCTGGATCCATAGCAGTCTTACTCCTCTGCAGGATTCGAACAGCTTGTCCAGTTGTTTTGCCTACTTTTAATAAACCTACAATGATAGCATAGAAGTTTTCACAATTAAAACACACACACACCATGGACCAGGGAACAGAATCCATAATTTTTCTTTTGCATGTTTGCAGCCCAACTTGATCCCATTCAGAGTAAGGTGCATGCCAACTAGCTATAGACAAATGGTGGCCCTCCAGATGTTGTTGAACTCCAATCCCTAGAAGCAGTTCTCACCAACAAAAGGAAGAGGGAGCAGGCTGAGAGATGTAGCCCAATAAATTATATCACTGGTGTAAACCAACTGAAAACTATCAAAATCAATGGATTTAGGGCCTCCTGTGGGCAAAACTACATGTTGGGTGAATTCAGTAGTAAGTCACAAATAGAGCAGGCCCAATGAATCAATGGAATTTACAAAGATATTGACTCAGCAAATTCCCACAAATACAGTGGGCTACTCTAGTTGCAACTTATGACTGGGTTTTAGCCAATATGATGAAAATACTCCCCAGCCATTATTTACCGCAAATAACATCATCTGGAGCAAATACAGGTGGAAACTGGGGGAATTTGGCAGAAAACCAAAACAGAATCCTGATCTAGATTCATGAGTATGTTTGAATTGCTTTTTCTTTTTAAAGAGTGCTTGATTCAAACATACTTAAAAATAAAACCATAAACATTGTGACATAACAGTGTGACTAGTCAAAAAAACAACAACACCAAGTTTATCGGCTTTATTCCTATGATGCCTATAATGGTTCTTGATAGCCTTTCGCACATGGCATAAATTCACATATATTGTGTGCTCTGCAGCAAATTCTATCTTTTTTATATACTTGCCCTTTAATGACTGCACTCAGAGAGCAGCCTGAGTGCAGAAACACCTTAGAAAACTCCTTAGAAGTTTCCCTCAGCGTTCAGGGATCTAGATGTACAGAGGTTCAAAAGAATTTATTTGAATCAGAAAATGTTTCTAGAGTCATAAAGTTTCCAAAAGTTTTCCCCCTAGTTTCTCCCACATAAAACTAGAGATGTACGGGAACAGTAATAAGAAATCATAATGTGCTACCTACTTTCACATAAGCTTTCCAGTTTTGGTGCATTCTCTTCCAGGGTAGTATGCCATTGGTTTGCGATGATGGAGTGCACCCCAGTGAGGCTCAGAAGGATTACTGTCTCTATGGGCAGCTCCAGAGACAGGCGTAAAGAACTGAAAAACGGAACAAGAAGTATAATGAATACATATAGCAAATACTGGCAGTCCTGAATTATTAGGGCACAAAGGACAAAGCAAATGTTTGTCTATATTGCATCCATCAGCCACACCAATGAAAGCGAGTGGCATTTTTCTTATCTTGTTCTCATTAGTCTGTCAGCCATCAAATAGGATTTGGAAGCTGCAAGGTCATATAATACATTATGGCTGCAAACTGGCTATCCCTATTCCTAGCCATACTTACTGGGCTGAAGATCCTATCAAAATTAATGGAACATATTTTGGAAAAAGTTCAAAGGAAGGCAACATTGCTATTAGTGAACTTCAATCACAATCTTATAGGCCCCTTCACTGGGAATTTTTAAATGAACTTTGAAGACATGGCTTTTTCAGCAGGCTTTTCCGGAATTTACATCTGAATAACGCGTTGCACTCTTCAGTGTTTATTTTCATTCTGCCATATCGCTTCTTAAACCGCTTATCTCTATGTTGATTTTATTTACGGTGTATGTTGTATTTTTGAGTCTGATTTTGATTTTGTGTCTGATTTTGCGTAATTGAGTTTTATATCTGTTACTGACAGTTGTAATTTGACGATGTCTTATATTTTTGTTTCTTGTTTTTTGAGTGTAAACTGCTAAACTGCCCAGAGTGGCCTTGTAGCAAGATGGGTGGTATAGAAATCAATTTTTTTTTAAAGTTAACAAACAAACAAGCAAACAAATGTAATAATAATTAATAATTAAAATAATCAATTAATCCAAAAACAAATTAATCAATAAATTAAATAAAATAGGTTGAGTATTTTGGTAAGGTTTATTAATCCAACACTCCAGAATAAAACTCCTGATCAATTCCACCATTAGAAGGCTAGATGCAATATGCTTCAAGCAATGCAGAGGCAGAAGTGCTCACTAACAAACCAAGTCCAAAATCTAACTTGCTAGGAAGGAGATATCTTTAAGAATAATGACTCCAGATAGATTATTCCCCAATTTTGCACTCATATACATAGGCAGTTTCGCCAGATGACAAAAAGTTTAAATCAGTACCAACAGTGCTAATCTACTAACAAACAAGAAAAAAAAATCCAGCACAGAAGATCATTCTTTAAAGGAGTTCTTCACTGCTTTTGAAATAGTGAAAAACAGCAGATTTCCAAAGCTGATGGAGGCTCTGCTGAAAAGAGCTCTCAGATTGAAAGCTTTTCCTGAGGGTACAAATCTACTTTTTAAAGAAATCAAGCACAGAAGATCATTTTGGGAGCATTTCTTCATGGTTTTAAAATATTTTTGAACCATTCATTAAGATGATGCTGGTTTCTCAAAGAGAAATGGGATGTTAATAATAACTGTGGACAGAAACCCATGTTCATTTAGCACTAAGAGGCATCAATCAGCAAGGAAGAAGAGAGGACAAATGTTCCATCGGAGCGAGCCTTCAAATATAGAAGTTTTTTGCTTTATTCTGCCCACTCCTTTTTTCTGTCCCTCTTTCTCATTACTCCTGGCTTTTCTAACACCATGCCTGATGGAATGATCCTGTGATCTGTAAGGCACACAATTTTACACCTTCTTTTCTTTTCTTGATTAACAGAATAAGCATATCACCTTTGTTCAGAGTATAAAACGCTGTACTGCAGCTAAAACTGTGCTCACGACCTGGGGTTCAAATCCCAGGTAGCCGGCTCAAGGTTGACTCAGCCTTCTATCCTTCCGAGGTCGGTAAAATGAGTACCCAGCTTGCCCTGATGGAATGATCCTGTGATCTGTAAGCTTGCACACAATTTTACACCTTTTCTTTTCTTGATTAACATAATAAGCATATCACCTTCGTTCAGAGTATATTAGTCAACATGGCCGTCTCTGCAGTCTCCATTACATCAAATCTAGCAGTCCAATGGTGGAGTTGATTAGGAAGGGAGGACTACAGACTGCTGGGAGCTGCTAGGACTTTAATCACTAGGTAATACTTCCCAATGGGGATTCAACAATGTAGTTTTTCACAAGCTGCACAACAGGTTCTAGGACACAATATAGTTATAACACTGTCTCCCTGCTCCTCTCCCTGTATTTACATTTTAATGCTGTATAGAAGAACATTGTATAATATTGTATCATACTTTACCACAATATGCAATACTTTATCATAGGAAGACAACTATTGTAAATAAAATAACGAATATTTTTTTAAAAATTACTAGCTTCAACATAGGTTTTAGATTGAGAAACTAACATAAAGTTTGCTTTACCTTCTGTCCTCATCAAGATCTCTCACTCGTACAGCACTTGGTTTTGTATGCGCAAGTTCTAAAAGCATCATCAGCTGACATTCTAAGGAGAGAAACAAAAACTAGTAGTACTAATATTGTTTCAGTGGTGTTTGGATACAAATACACGAATAAGGCACACCTTAGGCAACAGAGATCTCTATCCCCATCTTCTCACCCCCATGTGAAACTTCCCAGCCCTTAAGATCTTCAAAAGAGGCTCTCCTTCTTAGTCTCATTGCCTCCGCAGGCACATTTGATGGGGACACAAGAGAAGGCCCTTTCTATGGCTGCTCCCAGGCTGTGGAATGCTCTCCCTCAAGAGCTTAGGTTAGCTCTTTCTCTTTTATCCTTCCACTGACAGCTGAAGACTCATCTCCTCAGGCAGGCTTTTAATAACTGAATGCTGATATTCAGCCAAGTAAGTTTTTAAAGTTTGAAATATCTTAATGTATTTTTAAATATGCAATTTATTATGTTTTTAATTTTACTTCTTTTAATGTTGTGAACCTCCTTCACTGGGAGAAAGGTGCCCTTACAAATAATATTTACTTACTTACTTAATAAACAAATCTTTATTCCCTGACGGTCAATTTTTTCCCCAAATACTGTAGAAGGATTACAGGAGTGGAGAGGTCAGTAGAAGGGAGACTTTTTGGCAGAAATCAGAGAGATTTCCATTCATACAAGATCATCTTCACAGGCACTATGAGTGGCTTCCACAGATCGTAGTAGCACCCGGGGTGCCATAACAATGAAGGCAGAAACAAACCATTGTTAACATGAATCAAATTTTGGGATTCAACCAACATGGTATATGAAAGGAAGGCACTGTTGGCTCCTCATGGCAAAGACAGAGGAGAGAAAGACAGTGGAGGGTGTGCAAGACCATGACTTGCCTAGGTTTATTCCTATAGTTTATTATGACACCTGTATGCAGCCAGAATGGCTCACCTGATTTCACCAGTGACTGCATATTCACCATCTAAAATTATGATAATTGAATAACACATTTCAAAATAAAATGAAGAGAGCATTGTGTTATTCTGGGGTGTTTTTTGTTCGGTTTCATTAAATCACCTGGTATCTTCATAGCAATGAATCTCTCAAGCAAAATGTGGCAGAGGAATCTTTCCATTCCATAGAAGACAAATGCACTACAGTTATTCAGTAAGTGTTCCCACTCTGCTTGACTGAAAGGAAAAACAAAACAAAACATTTATTTTAATACCAAAATAAATTAATAAGGATAATGCAGAATAATGTTACCGCACATGAAGGTGGTAATGAGAATATGTAGCCTATATCCTATCCGGAGGATTCCAAATCTCACACAGAGCCAGCCTCCATGCAGAGCAGAGACATGTATCTTCAGAAAGTCACTTTCTACTCCAGGAGAATGGTGAAAGTGGCAACAGAAGGGATGGGACTAGCATCTTCACATGTTTATTATACCCACTTCACAATACCAGAATAAGACTGCAATGGGCGGAATGCTATTCTCCTAAGCAGTTGCATAAGCGCAATTGTGCACATGATCTGATTTGTCTCTTAGACTGTCCATTGCGTCCCCAGACTCCCCCTAATTGCACTACTGATTGTGTGCCCTGTCTGTGTCTAAGAAACAGAAAAAAACCATGATCATACACATGTGGAAAAAATGCAATAGGACATTGGGCAGGTTGTTATTAATTATATCAGAAGGAAGCTACTACTTTAAGAATTTTCTTTTCTGCTCTGTTCTGATCAGAACAAAAAACAACAAAACAAAAACAACACACACAACCTGTATGCTAACAGCTAACAAATACTTCTTGCATGGAAAGGAACATAATACATAATGTGGACCAGAATTCTGTTGCTGATTTACTCTTGCGTAAGGAAAATCACATAAGTCTTGGCAGCAAATTGCTGCTTATTAATGAGTTGATGGTTTTCCTGGGTGTATAGCCAATTGTACAATCAGACAGACAATCTCCCAGGAATACAACAAGAACCTCATTAAGGAGCAATAATTTCCTGTCATGACTCACACAGTTCCTTACAATTCAATAAGACGATCCTGGCCTAGAGTGGTCGTAATTGACCAGATAGGCGGGATATAAATAGAATAAATAAATAAAATACACTGCCAGAATACTGGCAATATGTATGTCAGCATTACGAGTATACTTGTGTATGTGCTCCCCAAATTTAGAACTAGCTGTAATTTTTCTTAACTTGTATACAAGTATTCCTTTTTATCACAATCATTAAGGAATATGATGCTCAGGTTAAAGCTCAGCATATTTAATTCCTTTCAGTGGGAAAGACTCCTTAGCCCTTCTGCTAAAATCAACAGAACCTTAAAATGTTTAATTTATGACAGGATTTTGCATTGTGTTTTCACCTTTTATAAGAAGTTTAAGGAAAATAAACTAGATATTTTTAAAAATTCTAAAATATTCTGTGTCCTGAGGAACAAAGTTACCTACCTTGGACAATGTGTGCTACCGAAAAAACCATCCCAACGAAGAGTAAATGGCTCATATTTCTCTAGGATTGTCTTAAATGTTTGTTCAGGATTATCTGTTTCTGAGTATAAAATTTTTCAAAGTTAGGAACACCTGATTTTCCAGCACTGTTGTAAAAATTAATTCTATACCTTTAAAAAGCTCTAGCTCAAAAAAATATGTGTGTAAAAATTCCAAGCCTGGCTGCAGGGACACTAAAGCCCAGCCTCAAGAAGACCTAGGTCGTCTTTCACAGACAAGTATCAATTTTTGGACTCTTGTCTACAATTTTTCTGCACTGTCCAAGAAGGAGGTGTGCTTAGCCTGAGGAAGTAGGTTCTATCCATGAAAACTTGCTATTTATTTAATTTTTTAGTGGTCCAGTAAAAGGTATGACCCACTCTTGCATTTGTGTAATCTTGGGGACTACACAGTCTTGTTCTATGATAGTCAAATTTGCAAATAAGTCCACAAAAGTTAGTAATAATCTACAAAATAAAATATGTGACTGCATAACTAAAATATGCTGCCCAGAGGCTAACAGCCTTTTGCTTCCGTTTTAGTTATGGAGAGATGGAAACCTAGGAATACAGATTTCTAGTCTGTTAGTAAAAAAAACAAACAAACACCAAACTCTCAAACCTTGAACAGGATACTGGCCATAATAGATAGATAGATAGATAGATAGATAGATAGATAGATAGATAGATAGATAGATAGATAGATAGATAGATAGATAGATAGGAAGGAAGGAAGGAAGGAAGGAAGGAAGGAAGGAAGGAAGGAAGGAAGGAAAGCTTTAAAAACTGATACTTTTCCTTTAATATACAAAATACAATTTGGTCATCATCTCAATCAGCAGCCATTTTCTGACCTACAGATCAGCTGCAGATTTCAATGATTTCATCGGGGAAATGTCCTCAGGGTCACTTAGTGAAACGGCAAAACAACTCATAAGCTTTAAGTTTTACAAACAATACCTTTTCTCCTTGCTTCATTATGTGGATCCACAACATCTGAGACATAGAGTTAAGAACATGCAAACAAGACATTTTTGAGACAGAGAGCAAGAAACAGACATTGTTGTTTAGTCATTAAGTTGTGTCCGACTCTTTGTGACCCCATGGACTAGAGCAGTGGTTCTTAACCTTTGTTACTCGGATGCTTTTGAACTGCAACTCCCAGAAACCCTAGTCAGCACAGCTGGTGGTGAAGGCTTCTGGGAGTTGCAGTCCAAAACTCCTGAGTAACCCAAGTTTAAGAACCAGTGGACTAGAGCATGCCAGGCCCTCTTGTCTTCCACTGCCTCCCAGAGTTGGGTCAAATTCATGTTGGTAGCTTCA